GATGAAATTCTCTTCTTGGGGAGTCGAGCGGAAAAAAAGGCACCCAGGTGAAGGAATGAATGCAGCCGGGCGAACGAGTGGATGCAGTCGTAGCGGGCCGGAGGAGCGGAGATTCAGCGGGGATTTTCCTCGCGCTGGCCGATCTCCATTGATTCCTCTGCTGATACATAATTGGGACTTGGGAGGAATCTCGGTGGAAATGGGACCGAACTGCGGTTAGATGCTCGTCGTCGCGTTCTAGCTAGACGAGATTCTAGCTCTTGATGTGAGTTGGTTCCTATTACAAGGGGGAAAATAGAGTACTTTTTAATATATTGTGGGAAAAGGGTATGTTCAACCTTGCGAATTCTATGGATTCACAGTGATTTTCAGTTTTTTATTTATTATTTATAAATATACTGTGGAGGAGTGACTAAATAATAATAAAGAGACGAGAAGTCTTCCAGACGATTCGGATCCGTGCATCCACGGGCGCACAGACCAAATGAAGACACAAGGAGTGGTATTTTTTTCCATACTGAATGCCAGATGAAGAAGGCAAGGGGGATTTCCATCAAGGTCGCGGGTACCAGCTCAAACAAGGATCCTGTTTGGCTCAAGTCCGCCATTAAGCCGTAAGTTATGTGTTGGGCGATGACTTCATGAAAGGAGTTGTTGACTTTTACACGAACAATCTCCAACCCGATCTTCGGGCATGAGTTTACACGGAGAATCGTAATCCGACATTACTCGTGAAATGAATGAACTGTCTTGGACCTTTCCCCTCGGAGCGAAAGGGGACTTTCGAAGGCAAGGCCGGTGAGTGAATGCGCTTAACGCAGATGGATTGCGCTCGGTCCGCTGCGAATTCGATTTCGGGAAGTGGCTGGAATTCATTTACGTTCGTTCCCGATGTTCGACAGCTACGCGAGAGGAAAAAGGAATGCAGGCGATCGTTTCGTGATGCAGGCGATCGTTTCGTGAGGAAAGCGATCTTTTCGTGAGGCGAACAATTTTTCTGCATTGCTGCGCAGGATTGAATTACGTTCAGTTCGGCTTTCCGCTGTTTCACACACGTCGTACTTGCTCTTAAGCTTCCAAGAAATATGCAGATAATCTGGAGAGTTATTGGAGATCATAGCACGATTATAAGTTACGGCTTAATGGCAGACTCGAGAAGAAACAGGGTCCTTCTTGGAGCTGGAGCATTCTTAAAAACCAGCGAGCGTTAACTGCAGTTTTCCTCCCTTATTGCTCTGTGAAGAGAGAAGATTGGAAAATCGCTCCAATTTTCTTTCCTCTTCTTGCTCTTCCAGAGTAAAAAAAAATGGAGGGAAAACGAACAAAAGAGAGGAAAATGGCCCGTGCACCCGTGAATGCACGCACCCGAACCCCGTAGAATATCACACAAGATCTGTTAATTGAAAAATCAACCATCGTAAGTAGAAGAAACCGAGAAATCATGGCAATTTGCAAAGTGAACCTACCTTTTCCCTGCAATCTATAATAATAATAAATTTCCCCCTATAATAAGAACCAACTCGCTACAGAGCTAAAATCTCGCCTCGAAGATGACGATGGCATCGGCGATGACGAGTGTCTTGCCCCAATCCAGTCTCAGTTCCACCGAGATTCCTCCCAAGTCGCAATAATGTATCAGCAGAGGAATCAGTGGAGATCGGCCAGCGCGAGGAAAATCCCCCGCGGAATCTCCGCTCCTCCGGCCCATGCTACGACTGCATCCACTCGTTCACTCGGCTGCGTTCATTCCTTCACCCGGCAGTATTCGCTCATTCACCCGGCTGCATCTTCCCTTTCTCCGGGCATATCAATTAGTCCAACTTTCCATTGATTCATGCACGCTATGTGCGGGGCCGGATTAAGGTTATGAGGGGCCTAAGGCTAAGGGGAGGGAAGGGCCTAAGTATGAATTACATATTACAAAAAAAATATGGAATGGAGGGCCTAAAGTAGGGCCTAAAAATATGAAGGCCTAAGGCAATAGCCTTATTAGCCCATGGATTAATCTGGCCCTGGCTGTGTGACTTGCTCTCAAGGTTCAAGGAAACGTACAGAAATTCTCGAAGGTTATAGAAGGTAATATTTTTAATTCAGGACAGATTCTCTCAATTCCGTCAGAAGCAGTTCTTCGGGAGTTTTGCATCACGATCGCAATGAAAGATCCCAGATTTATCTTCCGAACTCATGAAACCCAAGGATAGAGCAGCAAGTTCACCGAACAAAAATAGAAACGGGATAATGCCATAGCCTACATATCAGGCCATCGAATGCAAGCGCGCGTGAAAAGGGAAGCTCCAGGTCCACGTTCCGCAATAGACCTTTGCGAATCTTACCAGAGAAATGCATTCATCTTACACCTCGGATCCGTTTTTCAGAATGGAACGCTCGAAACTCAGAGAAAAGCAAATCGGGAATTTGCATCATCCATAGAAAACCGCAGAACCTCAGCCTCGTGAATCCTCGAACACTGACTGCACCCAAACCACACGCACCCACAAGGCAACAAAAGCTGAGAGAGAGAAAGAGAGAGAGAGAGAGAGAGAGAGAGGTGCATCCCGTCTCGTCGCTTTTCGGTGAAAGTATCTCTTCCTGGAGTGAGGTCTGAGGAAACTTCATCTTTCCCAGTGAACAAAGCGATTCGGTCTTTTTTGCGTCATTCGATAAAACAGAATTCAATCGACAACCAATTCTTTAAAAATAATTGGAGGAACTCGTCGGACAGAACCCGAGAGACGAGAGCGCGCAGAGCCTCCAGTGCGTTCCAGGTATTGCGACTGCCAGCGTCATTGTTGTTGGAGAAAGAGAAAGCAGAACAATGAGGGTTATCTGAAAACGGGACAATGTGGGTTGGGGGAGAATCGGACGATGGCCGTAAATTACAGATTCTCACGCTTCTCGGACCGAATCATTCAACACTAGGACGCAGATCTTCGCGATTCTTTATACTTATTGAAATAATATCATCGCGGGATGAGGTCTCTATTGGGTTATAGATATTATATATAGATATACCGTAAGTATATATTATTTACGAAACTCTCTAAAAAAATCCTGTCGTCCGTGTAAGCTCTTCATGTTTCTCCAGGACTGGATGAACTGGGTGGGCTCATTGAATTTTATGACTCTATAAAACCGAAGGAGATTTCGCAAGAGTTTTTCCTGCTCTTTGTAGCACAAGTACGTCAAACCAGTACTTAGGCAGATTTGAATCTCGACGTCGGGCGACTTTGAATCATTGTTGACCTGCTTTCCAAATTGCAATCCTTCGTCGTATGTATCTTGGTTGAGGCATTCCATGCAGTCTGATGGTCCTTTCACTTCCAAGTGCGATCTGAGCGATTTCGCCCATTGAGCCATTTCCTGCATCGTCTGGGCCAGAATGGCTTGGAGTCGCCGTGAGACGGTGATGTTGACTGGACGTTCCATGTTTCTTTCAACTGATTCATTTCACCGTAAAAAATGCACTTGATTCGATGTTCACTACGTTCGTAAATGTCATTAATGTGCCTGCAATCGAAGTAAGGCGACATCTTAATCCCTTAATCCTTAAACCCACTCTCTGATGCCGTTTGAAAAAGTCGACTGTGCATTACGATATCCGTAGGTAGCCGCGGGAAAAGACAGTGGAATTATGTCGAGACATTCGACTAAAGAGGTAATTCAACTCAGGGAGGCTCAAAGCAATTCTGGTCCTAACGATGCTTTAGTTCAATTAGGTGCATCACTCAACGGGCGATCGATAAGCTCATGCTCGGATTGAGCTTGGCAGTGGAGAGTACCAAGTCAGAGGCGATAGGCAGAGAGAGACATTACCTGAGGGGTTGCACTGGACACTTTTGTAAGAGAGGGATTTAAATGTTTATGCAATCTGGAAACATGTTGAAATAATGTTGTAGGTCAACATTGATTCAGTGTTGAAGGCTCAGGTATAATTCTTCCTTGAATCAAAGCCTCTATAGGAAACATACTTGTGTTACAAGGGGGGCGGGGTGAGTACTATAAGGAAAACAGCCTGCTTCATAAAATATTCCCTTAAAAGACAGGAAAAGATTAAGATCGTCTCACGACCTGCTTTACACTGGCAAAGTTTCGTAGAGGAGGAATATGAAGGAAATTGCCAGAGAAAGCGTAGTCGATATCTGGTTCGCTTACTCTCATTAGCAAAAGATTTTGTGTTAGATCTGTTGATGATGCCATTGGAAGTCGAAGCATTTCAAACCCCAACTAAATCCTTGGGATTCGTGAAAACTCTTTGCTAGTGATCAAAGCCGGATTTTTTTGTTGTTGTAGCGACTCTAGGATACTTCAAGGATTCCCCATACCCCTTCTGACATCTCTTGCGTTCCAATGGAAGTTGAAGTGAGTGCGGACGCCGCGAGATGTCGATCGTGGCCAGTCCTTGAATGCAATGGCCGCGGGTGTGACTGTGGGTTTCCGGTCCGCGTGATTCGCCAGTTCTATTATTCTCGCATTTCGTGAGCGAATTTATCAAATTTTGATTAAACCTACTGAAGTATTAGGCATACTTGGCTTAGGTTGAAAAAGAGGCCACGAATATAAGTAACATGACTTATTAGGGCAGTATATAACGAGGATTAACCGGTCCATGATCACGGCTCCCATGTTTATTCAGGCATCGTGTTTATGATCACGTCTCGTAGATTCACACTTTGTCTGGGGAAATTTGTTGAATAGAGATATGACTTTTCAGTGGAAATCATGAGATAGTTATGGATGAATTGAAGAAGTTGAATATCCGTTGAAAATCTTAGTATGAAGCCTTGCAGCATTCTTCTTGACTCTCCATAGCCCTACTTCCATACAAAGACACACTTCAGACATTGGACTTGGGGTGCATTCTCTGATGATTGGGTTCATCTTTGAGCCTCTTGTTAATTCTAACTTTATATTATTTCAATAGGCTTAAGGTGCTAAACAACATCTTTTTGTGTGTAGGATTATTGCTGATTGTTCCAAAGATGTGCCTGTGAGTTCTCACAATGACTGAAAAGAAGCCTGTAGTTAGGGTGGCAGTGGTAGGTTGTGCTCATGGAGAGCTAGATATAATTTATGACCGGGTCAGAAACCATAGAGGAGACCCAATAGACCTCCTCATCTGCTGTGGAGACTTCCAGGCAACCCGGAATCTAAGTGATCTGAAATGTATGGCTGTTCCCCTCAAATATGCCGCCATGTGTTCCTTTTACAAATACTATTCTGGAGAAAAACAGGCCCCAGTCTTGACTTTGTTCATTGGGGGAAACCATGAGGCCAGCAATCATTTACAAGAATTCCCTTATGGAGGATGGGTTGCTCCAAATATCTATTTCATGGGGTATGCAGGTGTAGTGCAATTCAAAGGCCTGAGAATTGGTGGACTGTCTGGCATCTACAAGGGGCATGATTACCTCACAGGCCATCATGAGTTTCCACCATACAACGAGAGTGCCAAGAGATCTGTCTACCATGTGCGAAATCTGGAGGTGTTTCGCCTCAGACAGTTATCAAAAGCTCCTGATATAATGATTTCACATGACTGGCCTCGAGGAGTTTATCACTATGGAGATGTCCAGCAGTTGCTCAGATTCAAACCCTTCTTTGCACAGGAAATTGAACGGAATGAACTTGGAAGTAGGCCTGCTGCAGACATTCTCTTTGAGCTCTGCCCAAGATATTGGTTTTCTGCTCATTTGCATTGTAAATTCATGTCTCAAGTGAATCATCAGACAAATACAGACTCAAATGAAATTAAAATCACGCAATTTCTAGCTCTTGACAAGTGTCTGCCTAATCGGCAATTCTTCCAAGTGATGGAGATCCCTTCTTCAGGCAGCAGTGATTCACAGGACTTGACATATGATCCAGAATGGCTAGCAGTTTTGAAGAATACCAACCATCTTTTGTCTGTGAAAAGACACATTAATCACATGCCTGGACCTGGTTATGATGGCAGGTGGAATTTCACACCAACAACTGAAGAACTAGAGGAAATTGAGAAAATATTTTGCAACGACTTCCAGATTCCCCAAAATTTTGAAAGGACTGTTCCACCATATGATGAGAAGGAAGGTGTGAACTTGTACAATGTTAGGCCACCCAGGATTTTGTTCAATCCACAAACAGTCTGCTTTTGTGAAAAGCTGGGCATGACTGACCCATTGCAAGTTATAGCTTCTTCATCTCCATCAAAACAGTTCAGAAGGCCTGGTCTGTCATCATCTTTTGTCAATGAAGAGGAACTGAATATCACTCAGACAGAGTCTTCAGACCTGTCTGGCAATGTCTCCATGAATCCAGATGAAATTGCATTGGATGATGACAGTGATGAAGAACCCGTCACTTCCTCAGATGTTGCTCATTCAACACCTGTTGCAAAAAGTGCAAACCAGACCTTGGAAATCCAGTACAAGTCACCACTGAGTTATGATGAACTCCCCAAGCTCAAGACTAACGAGAGTAGCATTGGTAGTAGTGATCCTGTGGTGACAAGCAGCAACACTGATGATAACAAGGATTCATGTAGTAGCAGTTTCTTTCTTGATGTTAGTGGTGACAGTTCTACAGCTGTACCTACCAAAAGACCCATGGAACCAAGATCAGGGGGTGCCAAGAAATTTGTCAGAAGAAATGCAGCAATGTATGAGAATTCTGAGGATTTCCTGGAGGTTTGAAAGAAGATGATGTCTCCTCATACTGGTCATGTCTGTGATGTTGTAATTAGTTTTTTACCTTCTTGATTCTTTGTAATCCTAAACTGCTCTGGGAGAGTATGAAATAATAAGCATGCTTGCTTCTGCCAATTTCTGGTCATTTTTTCTGCAAGTGATTCATAGTTCTAACTGACTTGTAATAAAGTTGTAGAAGGCCAAAGTAACTAGTACCAATTCATGAGGATTTTTATGAATTTCCATGAGAATGAAAATTGTGTCCATGGATAGCATGCACTGACAAGTTCAAAATTCTCAAATAGGCTAGTATAACTATTATGAGAAATGTGATGCAGAAATTTGTTAAAGCACTTTCTTTTATAACCAATTTCAACACTGTTTTATGGAAGTAATTTATTTGCTGCACAATATTGCCATCTGAATTTAATGTGTGGAATTGGTTGTCAGCATTTTGCCCCAAAATTTTTGCATACATTTTTTATAAAGAAATTTCCACCTGGTTTTGTGAAGTTTGCTAATGTGAAGAACTTGCTGTTAATGCATGTTACACAATCCCAGTTTCTGAATCTAAGTGCAAGATGAGCTATCATAGCATTCACCTAGTGATAGGGTTGATAGGGTTATCTGTGATGTTGGGAATGAGAACTTGCCTTTACATGAAACCTTCTTGAGCCTTTTATATCAGCTTGTTTCATGATCTTAGATTGCCTCATGAAGGCAAATCTGGCAGATGCCCCATAAGGATATACTGTATATCAACATTAGAATTCAGCAAGTCATCTTACTTGTGCTTTTAAGTCACTATTGTTAGATCAATGCATACTAATTTTTCTGTTGCTTCAGAGTGCCTATGCAATTAATTCACACGCACCCTGGGTGAAACTGGAGTTTGTTTCTCCATGTCATATCATGCCTTGTTTTCTTTCACACCAGATATTGGCCTGTATTAGTTGTTAATACTTCTGACAAAAAAAATGCCAGAGCTGACAGAAGTAGAGAAGTTGGAGGCACTCAATCCAAAGGAGGGTAGTGGCTCAGCATCTGAGTCAGATTCTGATGACTCAGTTCCAGATCTTGAAGAGGCTGGCCCTCAGACTCAGGGTCAGAGCCAGGTAAGTCTTGTGGCCACCTGAAGTTCATTATGCAATTCTTGTTCTTTACATGCATGCTGTATAGGCTGAAGGAACATTATTGTTTTGTTAATGATGCCAGCTGTCGGGTCAGTTTTTTTTACTAAAACTTCACAAAGCCATATAGCTTTGTTGTTTATCAATAGTTATGTTAATTGGTCCTTCAGTTTGAGACCATGATGTGGTTCATTGCAGGCTGCAGCAGCAGCTGGTCTCTCTGAGGACATGGTGAGCAAGGCAAAACAAAGTCGGTCAGAGAAGAAGGCTCGAAAGATCATGTCCAAATTAGGCCTGAAACAGGTACAGGGTGTGTCACGTGTCACCATTCGCAAGGCCAAGAACATCCTCTTTGTCATCAATAAGCCTGATGTTTACAAGAGCCCTGCATCTGACACATATATTGTATTTGGGGAGGCAAAGATTGAAGATTTGAGTCAACAGGCCCAGATGGCTGCTGCTGAGAAATTTAAGGCCCCTGAGATGCCCTCTGCCACAGAACCCTCTACTGCTGTTCCTGCACCTATACAGGTAAAGCAGGCACTTTTCACAAGCATACTCACTCTTTTTTGTCCCAGTTCCATTATTCAATAAGTGGTTATGTGAACCCATTTAACTTGTATTTAGTAACTTAATTCCAGAGTCATTTGAATGGAAGAGACAAGTATTAGAACAGGATTAAATGAATGAATATCTTGCTTTAACATTCCCAGATGGAAGAAAGACAAGAAGCAGAAAGTCGATGACAGCAGCAAAAAAAAAACCTTTTCATTCTTCAATCAGTTCTTGTTATTGCCATCTTCCCATGATTGTTTACAATAAAATAGTTATAAAAGTAAAAGTAATAGCATCATTAGACCTGAACATTGCATAAAGGCTAGCAGGGCATAAACCAGAAGTGAAGCTATAAAAAATTGCTGTCTCAAGTTTTTCGCTGAGATTTCTCATGAGATTTAGGAGTTAGGGCAGTGATGCAGCCCTTTGTATGCCTCCAGTCTCCAAAAATCTATATTTATTTTCAGCATATTTCGGTGGATTTTGAGTCAAAATCTCAATTTGGCCCTTTATGGGGAAAAGGTTGTGCACCACTGGATTAGGGTATTTGGGGTCCTGTGGTAAATTCAAACTTTATTCCTGATCAGATATTTTGGGGCTTCTTGATTGGTTCATGATTATCATGGTTTTTTTGTTCTGAACCTAAGTTCAGCTTAATTTGGTGCAACTTGTTCCTTGTCCAACAGTCAACTTGTCCCTTGTGAGATTTTAAACAGGTCAGGTAGGGTTTGGGCTTTGTAAATTGTAGAGAAAACAAAATCTGATCAAGTGCAAAATAGATCCAGTCTCTGGGGCAATTAACTGCTTGGAACAATTAAGGACTTGAAAATAAATTTTTCTGAAGTCCAATGCAACAAATTTTTTTGTCTCATTCAGGTTAGTGTAGCTCTAAAACATTTTCAGTTGGGATTTTACTCAATGGACAGTGTCTCACTGTATATGTCATAACTTTGACGTTGTTCAAAGAAGTTGATTAAAATCCATCAAGGCTTTTGTTACAGATCTAGTAATAAGTATTAATGCTTGAGAAACATGCATTGAATGATCATTATCTTTGGCTGCTCCTCAAGCATATGGGAATGGTTAATTCATGTGTTAGCTTCAACTAAGGAAGTTCAAATGAGAACCTCTCTGCTTTTTAGTTGCCAGTGTGTGTCTAAACTAGGACTATCATGATATCTGTTTTGAAGACACTGACCAGAACTATAGATGATGTATCAATGCATCAGAGAAATGATTTACTATCTTGGACAATGTGGAGGGGGAGTTCTAGTGCTTTCTGTCATCTCTTGTAATTAAGGAAGCTTGCTCTCCATTGTTTCTTGCTGTGATTGTTGGGGGAGAGGGTTGCCTAGCAAAAGGGAGGATGGGAACCATCATGATGGCTGATAAAGTCATAAATGTAACTTGACAGTCTTATTTTAGACATTATGAAGCTCTTTGTCTTGCCAATCGATATGTGGGTATTTTCCCTCTCAGTGGCAGTTCCCAATAAGAAACATTCCCTGGGATATTGTCTCTGGCATGTGGCCAGCAGGATTCATCTGGTAAGATTTTATTTGATAAGTATTGATGGGGGTTTATTTTAACTTGAGGTAAATGATGCAAATTGTGTATAGTGGTAATAGATTGCTGAGATATTTCCAAGGGATCCGTGAAAGCAGTTCATATTCAATCATGTTATATATAGGAGGAGTCAGAGGAGGAAGAGGAAGTGGATGAGACAGGAGTGGAGGAGAAGGATATTGACCTGGTCATGTCCCAAGCCAATGTGTCACGAGGAAAAGCAGTACGGGCTCTCAAAAACAACAACAACGATATTGTCAATGCCATTATGGTCTGTCTTTCTGTGTCTGTTCCTCATATGTCAATGAATTGTTACCATGTGATGATTGGGTTATCAAATGTGTTATTCTGTGTTGCAGGAATTAACGATGTAGTACGAGGCAGGAGAAATTTCGGCTGGGTTTTGCAAATGGATGTCACCTGATGAGTAGCATATATTCCTTCCTTTGCATGATTTTCTATCCTCTCCTGATTGGTTTTCTCTGAAGTGAAACAATCTCAGCCCAAAATAAATGATTTTCGTGGTCCTGTTGTCAAGTCTTCCTATTTGTTTATAATGAAGATTAATAGGTTTTGAGTGAATTGGGTGACTAAAGAAAGAAAAATCTTTCTAAAGGAGATTTCTTTGAAATCAGCTAACTTTTGCATTTTAAATGTTTACAAGGAAACCAGCAACTTTATATATAATGGCAAGTGGTTGTAAGAATTGGTTGATTTAGTTTAAAGATACACATGGGGTCATCACATCAGTTGGGTGAGTGCAGTCAAGACCACTGGAGGCTGTGTGGCATGCCTACTGGAATGTTTCCTTGAGGTTAGGTAACGTGTGAGAAGTTTTTCCCTGAAGTGATGTAATACTTTAAAAGTTTGATGAAATATCACTTCAGAAGACATGCTTCAAGCATTTCAGGTTTTTTCAATAACTGAAAACACAGCCAGTGTCCATTCATCTATGATGGAGGAATTCCTTTGGCAATCAAAAAGCATTGCAGCCCCTATATGTTGGAGGGCTTTTGATCAAAACCATGTCTCCAGTTGAAAAGTTGTGTTTGCTAACACAATTAAAAATTACTTGCAGTAGAAGTCAGCTACAAATTTACTTAATTTACATTTTATTTTTTTTAAAACGTAGACTGGGATGGACATACAGACAAGGACAAATTCCACAAGCGGCAACAGAGTAGAGGAAAGGGAATTCTATATTGGACATCCCTGACGTCATTGCTCCACCTTCCCACGCTTCCTGTCAATGTATTCCGTATTCACGGGCCCGGGGAAGGTGGTGGCAACTTCGATGCTGCTCCGGCCATAGGCTGCACATCGGGCCGCCAGGGCCGATGTGGTGGGTGCTATTGAGGTGCACGGAGCCCCTACCTCTCACACAATGGAGCATAGAGTGGCCTATGCTTCAGCCCAGGGGAGAGCAGGTAGTATCCGAAAGCAGCCGGGTGAACTGTTGGCCCTGGAGAATACCGCCTGCGCCCGGGCCCCTTATCCATTAAGCCACGGTGACATGGTACTTAATTTTTAAAGTTGATGGCCATTGGCTCACCAAATCAGTTTGAAGCTGCTGCCTTTGATCTGTGGGAGCCAGCTATCTTCAGTGGTAGAGCTGTTCTTCTGCAGTTCTCAGCCAAGTTCATTCAACTATGATGTTCTGTGCACTGTTGGCTGTAACTTATTTCTCAATCAACTGATTAATACAAATATCATGTAATATATATAGAAGGAATTGCTGATTTCCTCATGCAGTTTTCATTTGCATGAGTTAGCTGGTCTTGAAGAAATCCACCTAAGAGAAATGTATTTTTTTATTCACCCTGTGAGAAACAAAGTGTCTCAAAAACTGCCAAACATATGTATCCAACAGTGTCTCCAATGCCTATGGAATCACCTGCTGCATCATCTCTCAGTGATCCTGCAAAGGGAGATTTACAGTTTGAGCCCTGGTAGTTTAAATGCACTATGGATGTAGGGCATCAAATGATGACTGCAGGGCTCAGAGTGTTAATAATCTTGGAGATTGCTTGTATTGACTACAGCTCAGTATTGATAGCTTATTCATTGGAACTTATCCTCAAGAAATTTCATATGAATGCAAGGAAATGTTCAAATGGAGAAGGTGATACTGTCCTTATGTTGATTCTGCCAGGGATTCCTCTTATGACTTCATAGCGATATGATTTAGCTTCTGCATGCAGATGCATAAATACTGTGGGTATTTATGAGGTGGAGCTGAAGTTATAAAAGACCATAGTGATTCCAAGACACAAAAAGGATATGCTCTTTATGGGACAGGATTATTTATAAAAAAAAACATTTCTTGGGAAAGTAAAGGGATTTGTAGCAAAGTCTTTGCACATTGCACAAATCACATATCATGCTGAGCAGAGGTCATGGTCACTCCATTTAAGTAAGTTTTCTCACCAGGACCCCTAATTTTTTCAAGCTAATAGAAACATGCTGTGGTTGCTTTCTCCAACCTAGAACAACAGGATAGTTATTAGCTGGCTTGGCTTGGCTTGACAGATTAGCTTGAAAATTTGAATTCTACTTTTTGTGCCATATTTGCTATGCTTTAGAATCCCATTCAAGGATTTTGCAGAAAACATTGAAGGCCTAAACATTATGAAACTACCTTATCTTGAAACTGTACATGAAGGGGAAAGGATGACCAAAAAATAAAGTGATGTAAAAAGAGTAAATAACTTTTTTTAAAGGTGAATTTAAAATAAATACAGATGGTTATCTAATGAGAGGTAATGTTTTGTTCATATTTAAAAATTAGATTTCGTTGTCATACCAAAAGGAAGGGTGTAGTTTTTACCATGTAGGAGACTGGAACATCATTTTCATACTCTTGCTGCTGAAGGTGACTCGAGTCACCTAGACTAACATGTGCATAGAAATAATTTGGCGGTAAGAGTGCTTAACAACCTTTACGTTTGGGGTGCAAAATTAAATTGCCATTTTGAGGCTTGTGTTGGAGAAGTGCATGCATACCCCAGCACATTATAAGGTTTGTTTCATTATGGTAAATTGCATTGAACATGTACAGGTTCATTTCAATTACTGCAATTACCTTTATTGCAATTGAAGTCACTTTTACTCGAAGTTTGAATACCAATGCTAAATGAGCTCACAATGAGATGATTTATGATGGATATGAAGAGTGAGGCTTCGTGTGCCTAATAATGCACCCGATTACCAAAGTTATAGGACGAAATGAGGATTGAGAAATGTGGGGTTTGAGTGGATACCCTGTTGAAATATGAATGTCCGAATTACCCCCTCATGACAGGGAGATCCAAATTATTTTTTTTTGTAGGTACTATCTGATACGCATAAGTCTGTCTTAAACCATTCTGAAGAGAGTTTCACGTGCAAAGTTCAACAATGGTGATACTATGATTAAAGTGCATTAATTTTGCGCTGGAATTTTTTCCCATGGTTCATATATGCAATTTCTTTGCACCATTCAGTACGTAGTCATGACGGGGAGGGAATGGGTAGGGTCTGAGAATATTCGTGACAGCGAAGGAACGAGACGATTCCATGATTAATGAAGCGCGTGCACACGCGAGACGGGATTTGCATGTCACTCAGCACGGATTCCCGGTGACGGCCCCCAGTTCCCTTTTTCCATGCTGTGATGTGGGACTTCAACCGACACATCCCGAAGATGAGTGTGGACCTTCGGCCTAGCCGAGCGGTAACATCCGACGATGCCACGTGGATCCTCACCGCCACTTTCATCATCTTCACCATGCAAACTGGTACTACTCCGACCGTCCAATTCTTCTATCCAAGATTGCCATTTTAGCCCATTTGAGGGTCCAGTGACTCCTTTGTTTTGCCTAATAGGCGATTCGAAGCGACGAGGGACCCGATCCCAACAGGATCGTAATTTCATCCCATTGTATTTTTCCACGCCAGCATGCAGGAGCGTGAGCTGGATGCCCTTTCGCTGGAAAAGCTCGATTATTCGACGCAGCGTTTTGAGACGGGTTACTCAGGGTCGCCCGTCTTCATTGAGTTGTAGGGGCAGATAAAGTTCGTGAGACAAGATAATGTAGCTTTTCCGATTCCCCCGTCTGGAAACTGACGTCTATTCCCATATATTAACTCCAAAATCAGTGCTTTTAATTTCTTCCCTGAGACTCTCGAGTCCGGAAAGTTTCATCCGTTACGATCCTGCACTCGCAAAAATCTGAAAATACGTGATTGGGGATCTACTTCTGGAGACGCTCCTCGCGCGGTTTGCCACACAATCAACCCAGCTTAACCGATTTGAACGGATGGGGTAACGATGGACTCGTCTCGACCTAAGGGGTTGGAATTCTGATCTCGTACTGAACGGTGAAGATTTATGGACGGAACTATGTATAGAGGCCACCTGACCCAACTAGTTCCTCTTTGACTTTCAGCGGACTGGTTTCATTCCTTTTCTGGAAAGATTGTTCACGATGGAATGCGGCTCCCAGAGAGTAGATGTCATCTGCCTCGTCCAACTCCATCGACCGGAGCTGGAAGAGTGACGTCCTTGTCACAGAGGCGAAACAGGCTGCAAATCGGCAGGCCTTTTATTTTTCTCAGGCTTTGAGGATTTTTCTCGCGGTATGGGGAGAGTAACGAATGCACGGGGCAACGCTCATCGCATCTGAAAAAAAGGAAATAGCGCAACAACGTTGCCACAGTGTTGGATCTGTGAGAAGAGTCTTGCGGCAACTCCGAAAGCAGGATAAGTCAACCAATGCGATTGAATTCCATCCATTAATGCCCACAAGATATAACGCGTTACCGACCCCCCCATCCCCTGCAAGGCCTCCGACGAAGGTTGAACCCGATAGCTTCACATTGTCCAAAGAACACTCCATTCTCATCCTTAGTCCACAAATGCGAGGGATAGTTTCCAAACGCACTAGGACTTAAGTTTTTTCTTTATTTAAAACCCCGCATTTTGTGGATGGAATCCACATTCAAAATGCCCCTCTTCTCACAGGTAGATAACGAGTTCTCGTGAAGTCAGTCCACAGATTAAAGCCATTTGCCTTACACCCCGGGAAAACGTTCACTTTTCGTTACTCGTCACTTTTACCGTCTCGGTATCATCTCAACGGCTACTGTCCGCATTGCAGTTACAAAGCAAACATTTTTCAACATTGTAGGGAACACTGACTTAATTGTCTTCCTTCCAAATAATGTACAAGACCATCCTCGAACTTTTATTAGTGCTGGCATTCCTCGAATGCATCTAGGAAGTTCATCCTGTCGCCAGGGCATCTGGAAGGAGGAAGAATGCACGAAGACACGCTTGAAAGCTAATTGCGATCTTCCCCAGTGCACTAATCCCAGTTCGAGGGTCGTCTTCATTGTTTCGTCTTGTGCAATGTCTGATAGGATGAGAAATAAATCCGTGTTCCTTACGATTTAGAGTATTTGAGCTGAATCGAGCCCAATGGCTGATCCAGGAAGGGAGGGGGGGGGGTGGGGGTTGGAACAAGGGAACCATTTCCCCTATGAATAATTTCTACATCCGCCACTGAGGGAAGCGGCTCGTCGATGTTGAAGAGCCTCTCGCTCATCCTTCCATGCATATCGTTACGGTACCAGGGGAGAGTAGTCCGCAGTATCCCAATTCTTCATCTCGCGGGGTTATTCCAGAACTCTGATACTCAGAATTGGCAGTGTACCTTTCGCCCGCAGGGTACTAGGTGTCAGCCTCAATAAACCTTCCTCGGCTGATTACTGAGATCGGAAGTTCAGGCTTGGTGAGTCCGGGGTGAAAGTCCAGATATGCAAAGGGGATCCGCACAGTGAATGCCTGACATGGGTCGCGGAGTATTTCGGGTTGCTACGAAGGGCTTAGGTTGGGCCAGTTCCGAGGCATTTAATGTTGAACGCGCTTCCCGAGTGTCTTCGCGGGGACCAACTCGTCAATGACCGTGAGGCAATCGTTTGCCATGACCTGGGACCCTTCCAGACTACGGACTAGAGTGCGTACATCACTTTACCTTCTAATAGCTTAAGGTTGTAAAAGACCTCTGTAATTTTTACTCTGAGATTGGTGCTTAGAATTTAGTTTCCTGTACTACTAATGTCTACAAACACCGGGGCTCGCTAGAGGCATCTAGCGGCTGATGTAGCATGTCCGGGTCAAGGGTCAATCATCCTGGCGGGGTCGCATGTTCTGTCATCTCACCGTGACAATATCCTAACTCTTCTAGGACAGGGGTGTCAAACTCAAATCGGTCGGAGGGCCGCATTCCCTACCGTGCATATGCCTGCGGGCCGCACCCATAATTTTCCACTGAAATTTGTGGTGACAGTCTATCAAAGCAGAAATTTCTAAAACACAAGGCCAACACAAGGATGAACCACCTCCGCGGGCCGTATGTTTGATACCCCTGGTCTAGGAGATCCTCCAACGATCCTCTCTTTTCCGTCGAGGTTTCGCCCTGCTGGAGAGCGGCTGCGTCACGAAGAAGAACGAGGTGAACATCCTGGTGAAGAACTTGGCGGACGTCGTCCTGGGGGGACTCACGTACTGGGCCTTCGGCTACGGGCTCCAGTACGGCACTGGCCCCTGGACGAACCCGTTCTTCGCAGTCGGCTCCTTCTTCCTCGACTCCGACGACGAGGACACCATGGGAATCACGTTTGCTACGTTCATCTTCCAGGTTTAGTTTTTCTCTTTTCCCGAGACCTGAGAGAACCTAGTATACTTCCCGTATCTTTAAGTGTTAAAATGTTTGCCTACGATGGTCGTTTAATACCTTCCTCTTGGGGCACTTCAAGGGACTTCACGAGATTTTGAGCAATGGCGCTTTATTTTTTTTTTTTTTTGCACGAGACAGTATTTCAAAAAGCAAAAAAAAAGTCTCATAGGTCTTGGGGATTTTTCTTTTTCTTTTTTTTTTGTATGGAAGTGAATTAGAATTGGATAATTTTTTCTTTGTGACTGAACTCGATCGCGAGTGCTGTTCGAATGAGTCTCGAGTAAAGGAGGAGTTCTGGGAATTGCAGCTGTCATTTGCGACGACGGCGACGACTATCGTGTCCGGGGCGATGGCGGAGAGGACGAACCTCACTGCCTATTGTCTATACAGCTTCTTCAATCCCCTCTTTTACTCCATTCCTGCCGGTTCGTTCCCGATTTCCTTTGCTCTCACTTCGTGTATTGCAACTCGTCTTGATTCCCACCGTTATTTCTAGTGTAAAATACTTTAAAGTACCCGATAGTACGGGTGGGGGATGGGACACGAATTTCTCCTTGAGAATGCTTTGCCGTGCAATCAACCCTTGAGAGATGCTCGCTTTTCCCAATGGCTGATCGTTCCACCTTTGGTGGCCTTCAAAAAGCTTGGATTTATTAACGTGCGACAGCGCGATTCGGGACTTAATAAAGGAACCCCCTTGATTTTCAGGCATCAGCCATGCCCTAATACGTTCTACGTCTGGAAGGACATGAAAAGTATACGCCCGTATGGAGAGAACAATGGCCTACGCACGGGCATACTTCTTACCCATGATTTAATTGATGAAGGGTTCTTGGTGCCCACCACGTGGTTGCCTGTAAAACAACTTGTAGACCTGTACAAAGGATGTGGCAAAGGGGACTTTAAGAATCTGTCTCTTCGCTAACTAGAAATATTTTCAGGAACTTTGCACATACTCAGGCTGCTATGGTTCTGGTTACCATCATTTTGAAATTTCATCGAAATTCCCTGTACCGAAGCAAGGCTAGCAGCAATCATTCGAAGTGCATCTATTCCGTTCAAATACATTCTTTGGGCTAGGCTTTTAATGTAAATGTTTTGATAATATTTTTTCAATTAATCGACGAATGCAAACAGAGAGTCTGATTAAAGATTTCGCTGGAGGGGGAGCCAGGCGGATTGGATTCATTCCGCAACGAACTTGCATTGAATGTCAAAGTGATGTTGGGAATATATCAGTCATGATGATGTTATCCGTGAAAATAGCTTAAGTAAAGTTGAGCTAAAAGTTGGGATACTTATGCCATACCCTGTATTTGGCGATAAATTTCTGGAGTGGGACCTGCAGTGGCATCGCCCACTAAGTCCGAGAAAAAGAAATTTGAATTACCTGCATGTATCTTTCATGTGCATTCTTGTTTTGAAGAGTTTCAGCCGTCTATTGGACTGCTTGGACAATATTTTCCACGCAAAAGTACAGCATGGCAATATTTCCACGCTGTACTTTGCGTTGTGTTTCGAAGTAAGCTTCAGGCTTTATTTAATTTAATTTAATTTTTTTTTACTTTCCCTTCGTTTGCCTCTTCTGTATGTTGCAAGATAACGAGACGTGAAATGCGATCGGCTAAAGGAGTGAATAATTCTGGAAGACTTAAATTCATGAAGGTATTCATGTTTATAATTATAAAAAAAATTCGTTCGGGTCGTCGTTGACTGAAGGCTGGGCGTGGGGGAGCCACGGATTCCTGAAGCGACTGGGATTCGTGGATTACGCCGGAGGGAGTTCCGTCCATCTGCTCGGGGGTTCGGCGGCCCTCGTCGCCACCCTCATGCTCCGACCTCGACTGCGAAGGCAACTCGCTCTTTCCATTCCGTTTCTTCCCTCGGTGTGCGCTCGAGGTTGAGGATGGGAGGTCTTCTCGATTCAGGTTCGATTCCGGGGCGGAAGAGGCGCCGTCCATGGGGAATCCCACCAACTTCATCACTGGTGCTTTTATGCTCTGGTCGGCTGCATTGATTTTCTCCTCTTCACTGAAACTTCTTCAATCAATCAGTGGAAATATGTGGGGGGGGGGGGGAAACAATTATCTGATGGAAAATTAAGTAGAAAGACAATATAGCTACCTACGATCACAAGAGGCGTGACTTTCGATTATTATTTCAAGAAAACCGTCCCACATAGTATTCCGACCTATTGTGTAATCGCAATTCAGGAAAGTTATTAGCTTATTAAGTTGTTGATATATTAGTAAAATTTATCTAATCCTGTGGGTAATGAGTGGAAGATCGGAGGATATTGGGAAGCACTGCCTTATCGATCTTCCCGACAAGTTGAGTAGAGCGAATACATTCCAAATTGGAATTAGAGATAGCTTTCCATTTATAAATATATATGAATTTTATTTTAAACAGCAAAATAATGGAAACAATTTAGATATATGGAGCCTTTAAAGGCCTATGTGCCATGCGAGTCATGCGATAGAGCAAAACTCCGTTCTCATTCGAACCCTTCGACTTTGACGAGAGCCGTTCCCCTGAACTCTGGAGCAGGTGGGGAGCAGTAGGTTTCACGTGTGGAAGCACATTTGGGATCTCGTACGACAAATGGCACTATGCCGGCCGAGCTGCCATCTCCACCGTCTCCACCTCTGTTGCCGGGGGCCTCACTGGAGTCGCTTGGAGGTCCCTTCTGATTGTTTCCTTTCTCTCTACCTTCTATGTTCATTGTTCTGATTCCAATTCAAGTTCCAGTTTTCTATTATTTGTGTAATGACCCGGAACAAGATATGCTCGATAATGATGAAATTCAAAGAACGGGAATTGAATACATAATTTCCCGATTCATACGGTTTTCTGACAACTTCCAACCTTCCATGCAGCTATTACTGGCATAGGAAATTCATACCGTCGGTGATGGTGAATGCCCTGCTGGGATCCATCGTCTCCATCACTTCCGGCTGCGCTCTGTATCAGGTGGGACGAGTTCCCTGGTATCGTATCCTCTTTTTTGCATTTTTTTGCGTGAGTTTTGTCGTTTTAGCCGTGGGAAGCGCTGATCGTGGGGTGTGTCGGGGCGTCCATTGTCACTTTGGGAATCGTTTTTTTTGAAAAACTGCGTGTCGACGATCCAGTCGGTGCCATCTCCATCCATGGTCAGTCGAATCAAAAATAAATCGCTAAGACCGAGTAACTTGACTTGTGATTTGTGTACTGGTTGGCCTTCTTGTTGCGATTGGGATTCTCCACAAAAGTATATTGTTCTAATTTTTCTTCCAAAATATTTTAGGGATAATTCTTGTTAGAGTTTGAGTCTCCCTTTTCTGCTAGATTTGTTATACAAGGATAGAAATGTGATAATTATTCACTTGAGCTAGCAGTTTTTCTCGCAATGGATATCAAGTTATATTTAAGTGTATTTATATTTCAGTTAGTTGGGTCGAAAATCAGTCTATCCCTTCGTTGATGCATATTTTTTTAATAACCATCCTGTTCGATCATGAGCCTATAACATCATTATCATTCGATATCTTGGAGAAATATTCTAACTGTAGAGCATCTAATGTTTCCATATTAATAGTGCGCCCTCCATCGTATCCCCTTGGAAAATATTACTGAATCCCTGCTTATCCAAAATATTTATGTATGGAATCTTATAGGAAGACGGAAGATACGGTTATGCATGCTAGTGCACCCGTTTTTAGGGGCACCTATGAACCGATGGGAGAGGTTATTAAGGGGTTTATCATTAAAAACTTCTAGATATTAAATTAATTCCTCCAATATCAATCTGAACTATTATAACTCGGTCTTGGTTGGATTATCGGGTGCGGAAAACATGTTACATATCCCATATCGCGATGATGATGGCTGTCGAGGAAGTCACACCGATTGCACGATCGCAGGTGGCGGTGGGATGTGGAGCACCCTGGCGGTCGGCTTGTTCGTCCGTTCGGACACCCAGCTGCGGGTGTCCGCCTTCAGTGGCTTGCTCAAAGGCGGGGGTTTCTATCTGCTCGGGGTGCAGATGCTCGGCACGGTCCTCTTCACTGCTTGGTCTCTCGTCTCCACATTTTTTCTCCTCAGGGTATGTATCTCGTGCTGTGATCACTTCTCTCGACACAAACGTCGTTTCTTGTTACGGACGAGCATCTTTTCCATAGTAAGAAATATGAATACTTGTATAAGGGGAAACTTCCTGAGACGAGTTAGATCCTCCCAAAGTTTTTTGGTCATTCGTTTCGTTCTCTTATGCTTTATTTGGTGGCGCTGTTGACTCGGGATTCTTTTGTTGCTTTGTGTAGGAATCTTGTAGGAATGAAAAGAATATCAGGGTCTCCCTCGATTCTCTTCTCTTCTTTTGGAAATGTTTATGTTGCGTTTTTGCCCTCAACTTTAGTGCCACAATTCCACCGACCTTGCAGTCCATTCTTTGTAATCGTAAATGTTGAATCGCCAGGCGATCAATTGGTGGGTGCCGATCAGGCTGAGGGTGCCGGAGGAGATGCTGGGTGCCGACCTGGTGGAGCACAACGTTCGGCATTTCGGTTACGACTACGACCGCGTACTCAAGGGGCTGCAACGCATGGGATGCAAGTTGAACCATAAGCCCTGGATCACTTCTGTTCATCCTGAGATCGTCGTATGCTTTATCATTTCCACGTCTTCTTTCCTCGTTAATTGGATCTGGCATCTATGTATATGGTGGCAGAAAAAAAAAACCAAAGACTTTATTTTGCTTTGCTCTGATTAGCAGATTATCATGAAATATCCAACATTCTATTTGTGAAATGGAAACTGTACTTTCTCTGTTCTGCGCTTTCGAGATCATCAAAGTCAATGCATGCATTTATAAATAATAATAAAACACAAGTATTCAAATGACGTGAGGGCGACATATCTGCTGCTAAGGTTAACAAGACAAGAGAAGAAATGGAGAGAAATAGTTGGTTTCTTTTTCTGGGCCACTC